GTTATACTCCCCCTTTAGTAGTTGAGTCGGTGTTAAGAACAGAACAGAAATCACGTGCGTTGTTTCTAGCTGGAGTCAGCGGGAAGCTAGTTCGAAGACTTTCAAGCAGCCTAACTGAATGCCTTCCTGGACTGTACCTCATACCACTAGAACGGTGTCCCGATTTATATCTAGAAGCAATGTTCTCGGTTCTGTAAGAATCTGCTTACATTCCAGTTGATATAGACATGGGGACACGTATCAGTTACAATCCTAGAAATCATGACGACCTAGTTGATATTGAGCATTGTCAGATTTACATGCGGTACAGCCTCTTCTTAAATAGGTTTTCAGTCATTTGGAACAGACTACCAGCTAATGTGCGTGATGCAAACACACTTCAAGTGTTCATCTCCACAGTCACCATTCTGCTGAATGATGAAAATACAGTCCTGCGTCTGACTCATACACGCTGTTTTTCACCCTACATAGATATTATAAGTTCATCAAACGTATTTGTTACAACAAACTACAGTTATAAGTGTCAACATTGTTGGAAAGACATGACAAACATTTCTACACAGAATATTAATATTAGTTCACATATAATGTAAAAGTTAACATAACAGACTGGCTAGTTAGTGTACCAATATAATCATAGTTTCTACACAGAATATAAATATATGTGTAAATTTATAAATCACAGCTTGAGGACTCCACTTGTTTTCTTCAGTGCCGCTGTCGTTTGTCTTCTTCTTTTCTCACCATTTTAGCTTCTATATGACTTTTTGAATGAGAATAAAGAACGTATATATTTGATCACTTACAATGACAAATGATCTGCAAACATTATTGGTCACATATCCTACAACTGCCCCGTGAATTACCGACTACCCTCCTCCACGACGCATCCTGGATGACAGTTGTGGAATATTAAATTAATACCAATAAAAATCCCAGTAACTATCTGTCCGACACAAATAAATCTGGTTATTTAAGGAATAATAAACACACACTGATAGTTGCATTTTAAATCTGACCGACTGACGCGATGGCAATTTCCAGCTCCTACGTTCTCTAATTCTCATTTTATATAAATTATCCTGGTTTCCAGCAGCATACGAACTGATAATTACTCTTTGCTGCAACAATACTTTTTTGTATGTTTAACAGGAAACTTACTGCTGTGTTTCACAGTACGCTCTTCTCTTCCTGAAATAGATTTTAATAACATGGCGGCATAGCACTTACCCAAAATATACGCAGTTCACTGACAAACCATAACTATCAGCATGAAGTTGAACGAAGTTAGGATTTATCGCTCAACTTTGATGGTGACCTTAGTAAAGGATTTGCAATTTAATATCTTTAAGAACCTGTTCTAAACTCTTGTACCATTGTCGAACGATTAAAACCTTTGAAAAAGTATTAGTTTATGATGCTTCATGATTGTGGTTTATAACAAAACTGATCGTGTCTGTAAAAATGGCATGCATTTCTTGTAAACACCTGTTAATACAAAATATAAATTATTATTATAACACTTAAAGAACAGGAGAGGTAGTATTTTCGTTTACGTGTTTAAAATGAGTTGACTAGATGATATCTTGAAAAGGATTATTGGACTTTTAAGCGAAGTAATTGGCTTTTTGATGATATCCAAAGAAGAGTTAATAATTAATTAGGTCTTTCGGTACAAAAGGGAAGCAATGGATGTAGTGGTCCACTGTTATCACAAACGTAGGACTGCATGAAGTACCAATTTAAAAATTCACGAGTATCTGTAAGTGCACTGATAGCCTCACTAATTTTTAAAATGAATGGTGTGTCCACTTTACTAGGGTTTAGCCTTTTATGCCAAGAAAAGCAAGGTTTATCTCCGTTGCAGAAATATAACTCAGTATCTCAAAGGTGATTTTGTCGAATCAAGCCAGTTACCATACTCAGTTTCATTTTAAAAGTCGGCGGGCGAAGTTAGTGCACCATGGTCAAAGACAAGTCTAATCAAAATTTGACCTTCATGGACCAATCAGATACACGGAATGCTATGCAAGGTCATTCCACATCAAATCATGTAATCCTCTTTGGATTTGTAGAGGGTAGATACGGTATTCCACTTTTTTCGAGGTACTGTTTTGGTAAATCTATACTATTATGTAGGTTTACGGCTTTTTAAAGGAAGGTATAAGAATACAACTTGTACACTGTGATAGAATATAATTCCATTATGGATAGAATTTATTTTGATAAAGTCTGGCAGTGTTATTCAGCAAATATTACCGTATGACATTGTGAGACTATCAAAATATGTTTTACCCACAATGGAACTTTAAGGTGAAGGTTAGGGGTTACGATTACAGTCAGAGCTAGGAGGAGGGAAAAGAACGGCGTAAAAAATATCAGTGGATTTCGAAGTGCCACGACCTTCAGTCGCATGGATGAAGGCATATATCGTGCACGGTATGGTTTCTCTACAGATCATCTGTGTGGTGACTGAGGGACATTCTTACAGAACATAAATGACAACTACACAGTGTAATACTGTGATTGCAGTGACTAAAATATAGCAATCAGAAGCGAAGCTACCTAATAAATTGACTAATGATCTTGGAAAACAAGTCAGATGGGTCCGTAGTATACAGGCGAAATTATGGATGCTGTACACGAATTACATAGTAAATTTCGTTCAGATTTAGTACTTAAGGACCACTTAGACAACAGGCTCATTGGATGGGAGAACACTTGTAGCCAAATGCCATCCCTGGGCTGTATTCACAATGTGATTAGTCATACGGACGTTAATCCTTTCTATGAGATTTGACAGATTCCATGGAGAGTTTCTTAATCACCTTAAAAAGAGGAGGAAAGAGCTGAATGAGTCAAAAAACACTATAATTTACAGTAATCTCGTCGAATTTATGCACAGAAATTGGTTTAACCTAACTATAAGGACTCCTATTAGAAACTGAGAGGCTTTTTGGAAAGTTTGTAAGGACGATATCCTGTGTAACTATTTTCTAACACTGCATTACATACATATAAACGGTTTTTGAACTTACGCACTTTTAATCTGGACACGTTTGATTGGTCGGTGGAGATTTTCCGAGGTCTTTATTGGGTATCTTCGTTTAGGCTGCTAAAGCTAAGAGTTACCCAAGATTACTGCGGCTTTGGCCATGGTAGTTTAGCTTTGCGGTCAACGATCCTATCAGTTTTCACCCTAATAACTTGGATGTGATTTACATCCTCACAGTTTTCTACTACATGCATGTTAGCAGAACAAATTTCTGAATTTTTTCTGATTTCAGAACTATCCCTCAGGGGTTATATTTTATGCTACATGCGAGTAATGTGTAACAGACAAAGCCTAACAGGAAGTGCATATTCACACTGATATTTTAGCATCGACCCATTTTGAAGGCGTGGTTCCGCTTTTCAATTCATTTAAGCAGTGCATGCCTTCAGTCACTTGACTTTATAACCCTATACCTAGAGATAATGTGAAGTATTTCTGTAACTGAGGTATGAAGTGGGTGAAGGTTAACTTGGTGCACCAGTAACCAGAAATCAGGGAATGGTTCTGAGCGCACCAATCACATGAAAAATGATTTTTCTGGTGTAACTGCATTTATTTATGAAAACATTGTATAAAAACCGCGTTAAAATATTGCGAAGGATACCTTTGCTTGCCGCATGACAAGATGAATCCCACTTTCCATAGAGGTATCAATAGTGAATTTGAACCATAATCTATACATGTATTCACCTAAACGGCTGAAAATAACATCTTTTTGAGATCCGTCAATGGCTCTAATCCTGTTCTTCAACTCCTCTGAAATGCTTCATCGGAAGTTCTGTGGGTCACTGCTGTAGGATCAACAGAATCCTTAGTGTGGTTGACTCTATGGTTAGTATATCCCAGGTATGACAACGAGTTCTATCCCTTCCACTCATTTGTGTATTTCACATATCCTCGTTTCGTCAATCGAGTGATAATGGATTTGAAATTAGATAAATTTCCAGCTGATATCCTCCTGTCTTATTTTTTCTGTAATATGGTATTGTAAAATCCAATGATGCAAACGTTACTTGCTCTTTCACGAATACGGTTTTTTTCTTCTCTAATAAGACTGTTTCATCTATGTACATCTAAGCAATACTGGAAAACTTGGTCCATACCAAATTTCAAACGTTAGTCTGTTGGAGCAGTCATTTCACTTGAATTAAGAGCAATGAAAGCTTGAACTAAAGCGAAGAAACTCATTAGCCCACTCACGGTCACTGGTCTGCTGCACTCTGTTAGTAGGTATTGGTGCTTTGTTATAACTTGGTTACGATCCTGTGAAATTCAGTTAATGATTTGAGACATTCCGGTAATTTGATGGTTGTGGTAGAAACGCCAATATTTTGGTGCACTTCTTCAAAAGGTTGGCCGCCTCAAATCCACCCCTCTAAACACCCGAACTGCTCCAAATTTATTGAGGTCCAAATGTCTTACATGGAAATTTTAATCCACATTACAAAGAAGTGGAGCAAAGGAAACACTGGGCTGAACACTTCAAAAGACTCCTAAATCGACCACCACCTACAACGCGCCCAACAATACCAACGACGGAGACAGAGCTACCAGTGAACACCAACCCCCGGACGAAATCAGAAGTCCTGAAGGCAATCAAGATGCTAAAAGCTGGAAAAGTAGGTTGTATAAGTGTAACTCATACAAATTAAGTCGAAAGATCCTGGGCCCATCTAAAAACCCGCATAATAATGCTAAATGGTTCCCGATGCGATATGATATACAGCAACTTGAATTTTTTTATCGACATTGGTTTTATATGTCTACAGACACTTCTATAGGAAAATGGGACCAGTTTTTGCACCATCTTTGAGATATATGCCCTGTATAATTCCGTTTTATTACTCATATGTCTCATGAAAACACTTTAAAAAAGATAAATATCACTTTTCGCTCAGAAGAATATTATTGGTAGACTCAAGGTCATTAGACCTCGGTGTTTATTCCTTGCTGTTACAATTAATCGAAAACGGTACACTTGTAGAAGGTCGTTAAGAAGACTTGACATTTCTTCTTCCTTCTATACAGCTTATTTAAGTCGAAGTCCTCCTACGTAGGAAATTCACTTACTGAATCATTGATTCTTCGTTAACATACAGACACGGCTGTGTGCTCTGATAAAAAGTTTAAAACCGTAAGGTCATTAATTACATGTTAGATGTAAGTATACTTGTGTTCTAAGGATTCATTGTGGATGAAGCCGTCATAAAATTCTCCGACCCACTGCTTTTTTGCCCTTAAAGGTCTATTCAGCCTGCAAACTATTTTGAATTCAAAGCTTTTGGTTATAGTCAACGTAACGCCCTGTAGTTGATATTGAAGAATTTGTCCATTGTGCAGCGTTGAATCTCTGTCTTGAGCTATTAGTGATGCATCTTCCTTTTTACTGTCTCCATTAATTAGTCTCCTAAACGTTAGTATTTCTAGTAAGTCTTCGGGATGTTTTTCGCTGTCTCTTCAAAGCAATTATTACAGGATCATTTTAAACTTCTATCGCCTCTCCGTGTATTCGGAGACAGCAGGACTCGTCTTGAGTAATGCTGCGAAGACCCAGATAGAAACACTTCCAGACCCTCTCCACATACCCTAGTCGGGATTACTATTACTAGCCCTCACAATAAGTGTGGCTCATATTCCATGACTTTTCTGGATAACTTAGTTTAAGGAAAGCTTCACTACACTCGAGATTTTCTGCTGAAAACTGAGAGTAGCCACACGCTTCTTCTGAGTAGGAATTACCTTGAAGTATTGAAAATTTCATACCCATCTCTTAACAAGATATGAAAGGTATGCTGTATTTTTGCTGAGAGGCAGACGTATACTTGCGTAAATTAACGCAGGTTCCTGCTCCAAGAACCTATTTGACACTCATAGCCTACATGGTTTATTTGAGTCAGGTGTTTTTTAGTGAGACAGTGTTCCTTCTAACGTCACTATCGATGTGGCTCATTAACTCAATCAGTCGATATTCAATTACAATTTTCCATGTTGGTAATTACTTCCACTTACTTCGGCCCTGACAACTGTGTAATATCGTGTGCCTGTACGCTATTAATGCAGCCCATATCCTAGTACATAAAATATCCAATCCATGTAAATAGTCTATGTTGCGGATTTTCACAAGTGAAGTCTTGAAAGTCGTGACTGTTGTCTCTTCGTTTGCATGATCTTTTGAAAATGGGTGCCTTTTCACTTGTTAAAACTATCGTATTTAAGTAGTGAAGTAATTGCCACTTGGTTTGAATACATTTCCTTCATTTTGTAGGGAATCTTACCTGCTTTCCCAAGAATAATCTCTAACCCGACAGTTCATCCTTCTGTATACGCGAAAGGCTTCAGAAAACTGCTCTTCCTACTTTGATGCGTAAATGTTACCCCATCACTATGCGTCTGTAGTTTAGTGGTTAAATGCCCACTAACCATGCATATGGTCTGGACTCGATCCCCGACCGCCGCACTCTTAGATGTCACCTGTTCTGTGGTACGCCGGTAAGAAGGGGGAGTTAGGCGTAGAAATACCTCCGCTACTAGAATTTAAAAGCGTCAAGCACTATGTTCCCTAGGAACTCACAGGAACAGAAAATCACAGCGCCATAAATTACATGGCAACTAACCACAAAACCTGACACCAGAAAGGAAGAAAATTATTCAGGTAAATAAAAGAAAGAGGTACGAGACAGATGTGTACTTGAGTTATACATGATTGATAAGTTTCCATAGTTCGTTTCTTTGAGATATTGTCTCTCATGCATTTAGTCCTTAAAAGATAGCGAGAAATGTATTTATAGGACTGTAGGCCTGCCTCTGTTCCTTGATCTTACCACAAAAATTTCACCACCTGCCAGGTATCTCAGCTTTATTATCGTATTTGCTGTATTATTTGTTGTATCCAGATCACTAAAGCAAGACGGAAATCCCATTTTACTTATGGGAGTTTTCCTGTGGTTTATGTTTCCTTCAGAATGCTTTTATTTTTTCAAATGATTTTGAGTATCTCATCAAATTCACTCGAAGTCTATTTCATAAACTATATTGTCCGTAAAGGTTATTGCATGTGAGTTAGAAATAGGCTAATATAGACATTTTTGTTCTCTTTGTCTTACAGACTACTGATCACTGAAAAATCCTCCACTTCTAGTGACCGATTACAAACCAAGGCGGTTGGAAACGTTTAACGTGTCAGCAAATAAAATACAACATATCTAAATTCATGATGTCACATAATGAAGTTGCAGGTCCTTTTTTATATCTTTCAACAAAAGTCACTATTTTCGAGCCTCCAGGGCCGCTAAACAGTGTGTTTTTTGATGATGCCGGCAAACATGTAATTAGTGTAATGTTAACTGTGAACACTTAGATTTTCACCCTCAGGTCACGTGGTACTATGGGTGTGAATGTCAAATCCGTTGTGGATGACACCATACTAAATTTCCGGTAAGCTGTATTGTTAACCGTCTTAGTGCATTTTTTATTGATTGCCTAAAGGGTAATGTCAGTCATATCTGTCCAGCTTGGCTTGGTTCAAATTATATTATCAGAGATTTAGTAAATACAGGACAAGAGAAGTGTCCTCTTAAGTGGTGTATATCGTTACGCTACTGATGATTTGACGGAACAGTGTTATATATGTTCCTGAAAATCAACTATTTATTTCATGTATACATATAAGCCCCACTTTGGATTCGAATGGAGTGTCTTAACTAGCTTAATAAATTGTCGTCATACTCTTAACAGTCAAACATTACGGCGAAGCCTTTCAATCGTTGGAGTTGAATACCTCTTCGTGTCAAGAAGTTTTGCAATTATAACGATACTAGTGAGTATGCTTACGCTCTAGATTTTGTTGAAGAACTCAAGTCTTTCCTTGGAACCTGATTATTTCTCTCGAGTTTGTAACTCTTAGGTTTCTACCTTGTACACATATTACTGTGCATTGGTGGCTTAGCACTAGAATGCTCGCTGATCACGCATGTGATTCGGAGTTCGATCCATGGCTGACGCACTGCTTTACCTCGCTAAGCCAGTAATAAGACTGGTAGAGAGGGAAGGTTGAGTATTAGGCTAGCAACCCCATCTCGTAAAAATAAACACCACTGCTACCGAAGCTTCAGGCCTCTAGCTTGAAGCCCCATGTTCCATTGGGAACGTAAGGAAAAAAAGACATGACTACGGACCATAGGACCTTAAATGTTATATTAGTAGCACCTACATCAGTGGTTGTTACATGAACATGTTCCTTTCCATATAAGCTAGAATTATAACAATTATAATTGAATGGTTTCAGGTTTCTATACACTATCTATTATGTTATTTGATCTAGTCAAAAATTTGGCTGTTCTCAGAGTAGGGGGAATTATCCTTTAGTATAGCCGTATTGAATGTTTTTAATTGTGTATTTTTTGTCATTCAGTTTTCAACTGGTTGGTATTTCACTTTCAATTAAAATTTGAATCAAATATTATTAGGTTCATCGTATTTAGTAGCAGAGTCGAGGACGGGCGTTTCGTGTTATTTCGTACTTGTTGGATGGATGTACCTGCATCTGCAGTGTGACTACATTATCACTGAAACTCGTTTAGAATTCCAAATCATTATCCACTAGGTTATTTGATTACAAGAGTCACCTTTAGTGCAGCTGGTTTCAGGTGTTATTTGTTGAAAGTTTCTCTTGGAATTTATCGCTGATTAGTTATATTGGACTGAAAGTTATGGTTCCTGGTCCGAACGCTCCAACTCAGTGTGATTCCCACACTAAGCAACATCAGCTAAGTTTATCATGCTTCCAATGTATAAAACATGCTACATTCTTATGAAAAATGATCCCTAAACATATAATTTAGGATTCTACCCTTACTGAATTACGTCTTGACTTACCTGTACTTTGATTTGATACTTAACAACAGAAATTTTTTTAGCATAGATGATCAAGGTGAAGTTCTGAGCATCAAATTTTCGGAGGATAATCGCGTCTTGGCAATACAGCGAAATAACCAGTCTGTTGACTTCTTAAATTTTAAGGATAACTGTCCCACTGGTGCTCAGTATTCTCAAACTTGCAAGGTAAGTATACTCTCACATAATAGTTCATCGTTTCTTTACAGAATAAATCGGCGTCACTTTTGGGATTTGTGTGGTGTTCGAACTACGAGATTCTTTTCATCACTAATGAGCAGCTTGAATTATATCAGGTAATTTCATATATTTGAGCACTTGGCAAAATTATGCTCTAGATTAGTTCAACTAATCTTATCACCTCTCACTTTTAAGGTAATTTCGAATTATGAATACTCCTTTTCGCTTAGAGCTGTCACAGGTATCTTAAAAAGCAAGAAAAGTAGTAGTAAAACTAATCCCTCAAGGCATTCGGTCCATCTATCTGCTTTCATTTTTATACAAAGTACTTATTTCTTGAGTAGTAACATTAGACAGAGTTTGTCTTCTCACGCCTTAGGTTTGTTTTGAGTTAAAATTGATTTCCGAGGTAGAGCCACGTTGTGTAACCGAAGGTTACATTTATATTGTGTCAGCTAAGTTTGCAGTGATACACACTTTGGCACACACACTGGCAAGTGGCTGGCGGATAGTTGATGGAACGCTGTTGATCTGGGTTCTTCATTTATTGAGTTGTCTAGAAAGTCAGGCAAAGTACACTTTCATTGGAGAAATGAATCCCTGTCTCTAAATTCTGTTATCATCGACGTTACTATTAAGTCATTGACATGTTAAATTCAGCTATTGCTTGTCCTTACAATCAGGAAGTATCAACTCTTTTTAATCACCAGGCCGTGTTTTGTATTGATTCCCGGTTGCGGGAATTTTGGTCTGTGAGAAAGAGATGTCAAAACTCCAGAAAAACTTCCCTTAAACTGAAGTTGTAATCAGTTCACACTCCTATGGGCCAATAGACTGCCTGGTTTTCTCAGGTTTGCTTTACCCTTCGTCGTCGTAAGATTATGCGTGCGACTCAACATCGTAGAAATTGTGTTAGTTAGCCATTCTGCAATTATCACCAAAAGATTGATTTCCAGTCTTACAAACTAGGATAATCAGCGATCTACGTCAATCCTATGGAGCTGGGTGGGATTCTTATACATCAGTTAGTACCTGAATCAGTCTAGCCAATTATTATTCATTGTCGCCATCATTAGACACCCTTGGAGACATGCAATCAGATCCTGCTGATTTAACTCACTTATCACTTGTAAACCTAGTCGAAGTGCTCCTTAGACTCTAGCATCCTTCTAGAAGATTATTCCATTTACCTAAATTCTACAGAGCCCTTTTCAATAGGCAGACTAAACAGCCGCTTTCCATGATGCCCTCAAAGCTTCTCATTAGTCATTTGAAGCATGTGTTGTGTTACTTGCTGGGTCCTCAGATTTCGCCACCACTGGAGAAAGACGCGTCTGCATCACAGAAATGTATGTGTTGTAAGTTGCCATCTGGAAAAATGACTCAAGCTGCAAAAGCTTTGTCAGTGTTAACCAACAGGATGCGACTTAAAGCATTTAACACTTGCCTTCGAAAACTATCTTATGTAGGTTCAGTCAATTCTAAGTATTACATTTAACACATAATTCTTCTTTTACTAAATAAGTGCATTCACATCGAATTCTTCCTTTCCGTTGTTGTACTGATCATTTTCATTCGAATTCACACAACTCACGACTTCCTCACGATTTGAACCATTTAGATAGGAAATCGGTTGCTTCATCAGTGAAGCGATTCACTTCAACCATGTTACTACTGGTGAATACTTTCCCCAACTGTCATTCTAGACTTTAATCATCAACAGTCAATAAGCTTCTCCAGTAACACAGATAACAACCACAAAAACATTGTGGGACTGGCTATGACGATTTTTCAGCAACAGTATGGTGGGAACCTGTCTTCTCCATGATAATGACAGCGAGATTCAACTTAAATATTGGAAAGTTGCAATTATCCAGTGCTCCTCTTAAAGATCATACAGACTCGGTTGAATGAAAGGCAGGTATAAAGAACAAATCCCGATTTTCAATACTGATGTCCTCTCACTTCTTCTGTATGGTTCAGAGACTTGGCATGCTCATCACTAAAAGCAATTAGAATAGGCTTCAAACTCTTATCAATAGCTGACTTCACTCCATATTAAGCGTCAGTTGATCGGTCGGAAAGAATTGGCAGGTAAGAACTCTAGCAACAGACGAACCAAGAATCGTCTGCACAGAAAAGATGAAGAAAACTGGGGTGGATCGGACACACCCTGAGGAAACTATTGAGTGGCATCGCGTGCAAGTCCCTGGAGTGGAACCCAAATGGGAAACGACTAGTTGTGTTTCCATGAGCGACATGGAAGAGATCGTGTGAGGATATTAGTACCTATGGGTGATCTTGCAGACAGCTAAAGAGGACTTTAGAGAGCAGGATGGATTGGAGATGCGCTGTTGATGCTCTGAGGAAATAATAGAAATATAGTAATACTACTGTATAAGCGGTTGCGATTACTCGGTTACACATAAATTTTAATTTCTTCTTGAAGCTCTTGAAATAAGAAGGGCATTAGTCTGAGAGACAGCTGCTTTATTCTGTTCATGGCTTGTTTGGATGTATGGTATCTTTTGTATGGCCAAACTTAAAACCAGGAGTGTTGTAGGTTAGATCAAGATTTCTAGCTTTTGGGACCAGTCCTTTTATTCTCCTACTTCAAGTTTATCTACTTCATGATTATTATTTTTATATTTGCTTAGGTCTTGACTGACAGAAATTCTGTTCGTTTGAACAAATGTGTAAGCCTGAACACGGATTGGTTTCTATGGAATCCCGATACTCGCATTTGCCTCACTTGCGGTCCAGAACAAATGTTGCACATTTTTAACTTAAAGGTGAGACAATGCGCTGTCATCTAGTCATTTAATGTACTGACTGTTGTTTGTGCTACTGTTTGAGTAAGTATTTTTAGAATTTTAGAAATTCTCTGGCATAATTGTCAGCATCCTTCTTTTTTTATTCGCAATTACCTCGAGAAATCTCATTCATGCGTGCACGCTAGGTTTATTAACCTAAGACTACGTGTTATATTGCCAGTCACAGTTGAATTCTTACAACAAAAATACTCACAAAATGGAGTTTAAGGTATTTTGGCGCCGTAGTTTCTGCCATATAGTTTTATTTCAGTAATTTGAGACATCGGAGCAAAGTTGGAGACATTACGTAGCACCACCAAAGAAAACATGTGTGGAAAAACACTGCAACTATCTGAAGATGATGTTCAAGGAAATGTGTACAGCAGTTTAAGAAAGAAAGAAGAGACAAGACAAAGATTGACTCTCTATGGGCACCTGGAACCTAATAAAAGAGAGGGGAAGGTGATACAGAGGATGAATCAGAGCAATGATCAATGCTGAAATGAAAAGCGGTGTTCAATCTACGCCTCACAGAATGAAGTAACGAAGTGTGTTAGAAAAGACAAGAGACAATTTTACGACACTGTAGTAACTGAGGCAGAACAGGAAAGACCTCAGGAAACTGTATCAGATAACCAGGACCCCATCCGGGAAGTGCTCAACGCAGATGGAACCTATAAAAATGTTCAAGGGAACGTGACCACCAAAGAGGAGAGAGAAAGAAAACAATCGACTGATCACTTCAAAGGATTTCTGAATTAAGCATCACCTGTCGACTCGTCCAGAAATACCACCAATAGCACTCATAAAACTATCAGTGGACAACATCACTCAGACAAAAGCAGCAGTTTTGAAGTCCGGGAAGGCAGCAAGACTGGATGAAATTCCTCCTGAAGCACTGAAAACCCATCCGTAGGTCGCATCGGATATACTCACACCATTATTGCCAGAAGTTTGCAAGTAAGGGAGAATAATTATTTGGAAGGAAGGTTGCCTTGTCCAATTAGCAAGGAAGGGAGACTTAGACCGCTACAAGAACTGGCGCGGAATCATGCTCTTGTACACGGAGTAAAATACTAAGTTGCTTAATTCTGGAAAGAATAAAAGATGCACTGAATGCACAACTCCAAAAGGTTATGCGTCCGACAGTGATATGGAGGTGATCGTGCGGGGAGGAGGCAAAAGACTACGGACAATCGTGGGACCAGCAGAGAACAGGACGAAGTGGAGTTTTGCCGTTGATGCCCCATATTCTACTCAAAATTCAAGGGAACAACAATAATGAATTATTGTGGTGTAATTTATAATTTGTACTGTGAAAAGTTAACCTTGATTTCTCCTCACTGTTAATCATGTTGGAAACAGACAGACAGACATTGTAAATCATCATTCTACCGACCGTTGTATTCAGCTTTCTACATAATTCCTGTCCGTTAAGCTTCATGTATGAAGCATTGATTTGAGTAAGGGTGGTAGAAACTTCATTCGCCTGATCGTTTTTTCTTCATTAATAATAAGTCACCATAATTTTTGTTCAAATCATAGAATCTAGAGATAAAGATATATTTCTGTTCAGAATAATCAATTGTCAAGACAGTGTTGTTCAGTTAAACAAACTTTAATTTTAACTATGGCCCCCAAAGACGTGATACGACCGAAATGCGTAGTCTCCGATCTTCCTGTCGATATGCTGTCATGTGGCAAATCTTTGTAGCCTCTGCCACGCAAATCCTTTCCACCGCCTTCACACGGCGGGTGATTGTGGACATCTGGCGCTTGCACCCGCGCTGGTATACATCGAGGTGTGCCTAAGGGAGATATTAAGTCCCAGACCCATGCCTCCAGAATCCAAACGGATCGAATGGTGTATTATGTCAATTTGGATAGCGGTAACCATGGGAATGCAGCTCCTGCTGCTGTCCCACTGACTTGAGAATCACAATTCAAGCGACAGGTAACCACCTGCTTCGGTCTAGATCCCGGGCAGTCTCTCAGACCTCACACAAACAATGAGACAACGATTCACGAAAGACTATAATTGCTGGTTTACTGTTACAAGCTACAATCCTATATCTAGCAACAAGTTTTACTCATTTTACCAACTTAAGGACAGAGAAGGCTGGTCTTTAGGACGTGCATGTGAGATGGAATCAGTATTTGCATCTCTCAATAGCCGAAAGCTGTTCTACCTCGTCCAAACCACAGTCAGCAAGAAGCATGGTGTCAGCGAGACAGTCTGTAAGACAAATGGTACGCCAATTACCAACCTGAAAGGACGCCTAGAAACCTAGGCAGAGCACTTCGAGAAAGAGTTTAGCTGACCAACAGCACCAGAATCCAACGTCAACTACAGTGCTGCATCGTCGGTGAATACCAAGCCTCCAGACAAAGTGGAAGTCCGAAAAGAACTTCAAGTTTTGCAACGCTGCAAGGCATCCGGCCTAGACAATCTATCCCAGGTCCTTTCTAAAGATGGTAATGAGACTCTCGTCATGACTTTGACTGGATTGTTCAAGAAAGTATGGAAGAGTGAGGATGTTCCACTAGTGGGGAGGGAAGTCATCATCGTGCCCTTTTCTAAAAAGAAACGACGTGATAAATGTGACAATCAGAGAGCTTTTAATCTGCTACCAGTCGCTTCTAAACTATTGGCCGCTGTCTTGGTTCACAGGTTGTCCAAAACAATTAAGGAACTGATTCGCATTGACTATGCGGTCACCGTCTGTCAGTTTCTGGAACACCGTCACAAATACTGCAGGTCAACAATTGTTGTGTTTCTTGATATTGAGGCTGCCTTCGATTCGTTAGACAGAACTGCTCTCTGGGACTGTACCTAAGAAGTTTGTTAACATCCTGAAAGCTCTACGCCGAAACACGGCCATACGGAAGAAACACAACCAGTTATCAACAGTGTTCCCAACCAACAGTGGGGTCAGATAGGGTTGCCCAATCTCTCCATTTCTCTTTAACTTTGTCACCTCTGACATTCTAAAGTCACCTGTAGAAGAAATGTGTAGTGGTGTAGATCTGCTTCCTGGAGAAAGACATTTTGACTGTGAGCATGCATGCGATATCATTTTACTATCTGTTCACATGCAGACTGCCCAAATCATACTTAATCAGTTGGTGATCAGTGACTGTAAGTATGGTATGTGGTTTGCGCCGTTAAAGTGCAAAATGCTGTTACAATATTGTCAGGAGCCTGTACGCGCACTCATCCTCGCAGGTGAACCGCCTAAACTCGTCGATAATTTCGTGTATCTAAGTAGATTGTGTAAGTGTTAGTGGTGTGACAAACGAGACCTCTAACCGAGTGGTGAAAGCTAGGGTGGTGTACGCCAATTTGAGCCACCTCTGACGCCTTTATGACGTTAGTCTGGTTGTGAAAGGTCGGCTTTACAACGCCTCAGTGCGCTCAGTATTGCTCTGCACCCGTGGAATTTGACCTTTCCTTAGAATTGCTTGGATCCTATGGCATCACCGTGTTAGAAATTCTGAGATCCAGCAGCGTATTTTGGGACACAGCAGAGATCACCATCCATCGAGTGTTGTCATATGGGAACACCGGCTTTGGTGTCATGGGAAAAGCAAAGATTTGGCCAGCCTATGATGTGATATCGTGGGATTAAGGATATTTGTTTTATTTTAGCACCAGTTGGTACATTACACCTCCTGGTTGGCGCCCGGGAGATAGTTAAAATCGGTGGCTCGAGACCTTATCAGATATGGACAAGAATCGCAGTCAATGGTGAACATGCTGCAGCTTCCTTCTTTCTCCCCTTTCTGAAAGTACCATGAATTAATGAATATATAATGATCTTGACAAGTATGCATGTTCGCTTTCTGGATAACGTGCTTCATCCGTTCTCTCCCTATTTTCTTCACATAAATTGTTGTTTTATTATTGTTGTGTGGCGTATCTCGTGGTGCCCATATTTTACCAGGTTTGTGTTGTAAATAAATAAGTTTAACCATGTGATTTTTCCAAGAGTTAGTTAGTTTTCACGAATTTTCTAAACAAATCTTCCCCTTTATAGACATCGGCTACGATCGCAAAAGGACCAAAGTTTCAGTTACCTACATCCACAGATACAAACTCAACTCCTATAGCGGTTGAACGAAAGCACTGCTTTTTAGCTCTCTTGTAAGTTCTCCTACGTAAATACTCTCACTTTTTTAGATATAATAATTTGTACTTCTGTGCAGTTCGTTATGTTGATCTACATGAGGGACGAGATCTCAGCCGAACTGTTTGTTTCTACGCAATCAAAACGTAAGCCGTGTAATTTGATTTTTTGATAATCTTTTTATTATTGTAGTGAGGATCCTGTTGTCCTGACGCATGTTTTGATTTTGGATTCAGATGACTCTGTATCATTTAGTTTACTGGATAATTTATTTATGGTGCACTATCAAAAGGACAAGGTTGGTGCTTTCTCTTTAAAATAGTACACACTTTACCAGCCCGCCTGCTTATTCCTGACATTTTAGATTTCCCAAAGTATATTGTTCGGAAGGAGGGGGGCGTTACACCGACAACGGTGATCGTCTTTTATATTTCTGTTTGGATAACTGTCTGTTCCTGGCCAGCACTAGTCTCAACATATGAAGTGAAACATTGTTTCACGTGGTAATCTTTAGCGTCAAGACAACACTGGTTAAAAATAGACCACCTATCTACCAGTTGTTGACAAAGAAGGTGAATGGAATGTCTCTACTCCTTTCGGAACACGTGCGTGGACTCTGATCATGAACTGGTTGGTGAGAGCGTATGCCTGAGCGTGGAAAGATGTGGGAGAGAAACAGCTATACAAATCCTGACGTGTACAACTTTTGGAAGAGAACATGAGGTCTGTACTTATGCAAAATAAAACTAGACACTTATCTGAGTGTAGCGATAAGTACTTATCCAAAGGAAGCTTTGTATCATATCCATTCTGCTTTGCATACAGTTTTTGAGGATTGCTGGTAGCCTCAGTTTTACGGAGATTAAATTTGGTTGGGTAAAAGCAGACGTGATTGAGCCATGTACACGATGAGAACTAATCATTGAGTATGGCTTTTCCTCCTAGGCTTCTTGTTGTCCAGATGAGTGTAGGTGAGGTTACTATCTAATTCGAAGCTTCAGAACATGTTTAAAATCATCTGATTTGTTTACTTTCAATTTTTCTCTGAAAAGATGAAAGCTTCCACACAGTGTCCACACGTTTTTCTGTGAGTTTTATCTCGATATCTCAAATGACTGGCAGGCAATTATTCTAGTACTGTCCAGTAACTTTAGTTGCTTAGCATATAAATTTGTAGCCACTTTTTAATCATTTATTCTCAATTCATCTCATATCCGTTTATCATGAGTGTAGAGGAGAAAAGTCTACCAGTGGATATTTGTGAATTTTTGTTGGGTGCTTTTTTATTCCTTTACGTTCCCAGTGGAATATAGGGCTTCAAGCTAGAGGCTTGAAGTTTCGGTAGCAGTGGTGCTTATTTCTACGGGATGGGGTTGCTAGCCTCATGCCCAACCTTCCCTCTTTAGCGGTCTTATTACTGGCTTAGTGAGGTAAAGCAGTGCGTCACTCGGGATCGAACCCCGAACCACCTGCGTGGTTGGCGAGCATTCTACCGCTGTGCCACCGACACACTGTTGCGTGCTTGCCTGCCAATTATTAGTTGGCCACATACCTACTAACACTGACAAAACTGTTCTTTCTCCTTTTCGTCACCCAGTATTTTATTTCTAGGCTTACTCACCTAGTCATTAAAACCGTATCCTATAGAAATGATCGATGAGTGTCTAATGTTCACGATACGACAGCAACAATTAGTGTCTAATTGGTGTAGAATGCAGAAACCTAAGTAGGAGGGAGAGCACAGCTGTATACTGGTGCACTGCGATTTTGTACTACATGGGCTTCCTTCTCATTAATTTATGTTGGTTAGTCTTTCCGTCTGATGTTTATTAAAGTGTAGAACGCCAGTTGGCAAAAGTATTCATCAGTAGTAACAAGGTTGAAGTGAATCTCTTCACTGATGAAGCAACCGATTCTCTATTGAAATGATTCGAATCGTGAGAAAGTGGCCAGTTGTGTGAATTTGAATGAAAATGATCAGTACAACAACGGAAAGGAAGAATTTGATGTGAATGCGCTTATTTAGTAAAAGAAGCATTCTGTGTTAAATGTAATACTTCGAATTGACTGAACGTACATAAGATAGTTTTCGAAGGCAAGTGTTAAGTGCTATAAGTCGCGTCCTGTTGGTTAGCATTGGCAAAGCTTTTCCTACTTGAGGCACTTCGCTAGATGAGTATTTTAAGACAAATGCATTTCTGTGATGGAGATGCATCTTTCTCCAGTGGTGGCGAGTTCTGATGGCGCAACATGTAACACAGCTCTTGCTTCTGCTAACTAGTGACTTTATCATATGCTGCTACTTTTTGCTTCCACGTTACTGCTACTAATCATGTAGGGTGGTGAATCCGACTTTATGGATTGAATACTCTTGTAGAGTGTACACGAAACTGTTGCATTTTAATTTTAATTATTTATACTTGCTTTCGTTATCCTTCCACTGTTATTTATTAACCAGGTTACCTCAGTTTATGATATCGCTATTACGGGTACTGTAAATAACAACATCAGTCATCATAAACCAATATTGAAGAAAGTAATGACTGCACCATTTAGTCTACCGACTAAAAGTAAGCCTGTCCTGTTTGTGTGAAATTGTAAATTATATTCGGCGTACATTACTTTTGTCTGTTCGTCCCGTACTATAATAGGGCTTCAATCTGTTTGTTACTTTCAGATATTGTCTATGTATCACAATTGTGATTGATACTTCGTATGAATGAGATCGGTAGATGATTGGTGAATGTTGGTCTGATGTAGTATCAGAGTTAAAAAGAAAAAAAGTATCAGCCGATAACAGATTACTCTATGAGCTGCTTTTTATCGTTCCGCTCTAGAGTTCTTGACGGAACCTAGAAGTGTTTATATAATTCATCAGACTGTCTGTTATCTGTTGAAACAAGAATCTGCATGGTGGAATTTAGATGAACTACTCAGCGATATGAATATCCAGTGAAGTTCCTTTATAACGAAACAAATCACCACTTGAGAAAAATTCAGGATGTTAAAATTTCCCAGGAAGCTGTTCTTTTTAAGACTGCATTGTCGTATGAACAATGCTAGTAGGTTGTAACTTACCTTCTACGGAATAAGATATTAAGGATGTTTAAGACGGCAGAGTTGTAGCGTATGCCTCAGATAATTAAAGACTTCAAACCATATGATTTGGGCAGTGTAAACCGTATGTATTTTGATTGAACAAGAAGTTCTGTAGTCCAGTGATTTAGATTGTCAGCAGCAGTTTGAGTTCACCTTTAGACTGCTAAGATTTCTCTAGTGATTGTTTTGTGTTCGTACTTCTCTTCGCCGCTTTCATAAGACATTTATAAAAGATATCACAAAATTTTACTTTTACTCGCGCAGATGTGTCTATTCTCTTAATTTGTGCTCATCATAGCACCCTCTTTCTGTAAAAGTAGACAAAGCATAAAAGAATTTTGTTTTTTCATTCACTTGAATTCTGTAGACCGGTTTTCTGAATCTGTTTTTTCGTTGTTGTATTAATTGATGAATTGCAACCTTCACAGTTGCCTTCACAAGTAAGTAAATATTCGTTACGCATGTTGACGTGTATCAAGAGAATAGTATGAAAGATAAATTGCGCGTATTTGAAGTGTTCTATGTGTATCTTCGTCGCTAATATATAAGTTATCTTATTACATATAACCAACTCAGTGACGTCGTGTTCGACTGATCACATATGTCATACCAGTTATTAAGCATCATGGAAAAAATTTTCTTTTGTTCTCAAAACGGGGTCTAAAAAATAATTTGACGCAAATGTACTTCTGCTTTACTTGGTAAGTTGTAAAGCTATTTCACTAAATTCTTCGGTTTTGGCTGAGTTACCTAGATGAGTATTCACCTCACCTCTGACTGACTGACTGACCAGCTAATCAAGCGCTGCTGTTGAGTCATTTATTAGAATTCATCCTTTTCAGGTGTATCTTATTTGTCACATCTTCAGTTCTTTGTCTGTAAATGACCCCAGGAAGGTATCTCTGAAACTGATTTGTAGGTTAATAAATGTGTTTTTTAAAATAAAAACTAGAAATAACCAATTGCGAAATTTTCATTTAGACATTTAGAAGACAAAAGAAAATTCGAGCAAAGAATATTCTATTCTATAAATGCCTCTTCCAACCCTACAATTATATATATATATATATATATATGCAACATATTACTTAATTCTTGTTATTATTTTTTCAGTTGTTCCTGCCTTGTCGGCGAATTTGGACACTCAGTTTCCTGTCGACTTATGTATCCTTTACAAAAGTTGTAATGTTAACCGTTTTTACTGTCATCGGTTACCATGATAATTTTTCAGTTAGGGATGTCTTTGTAAGTGGCAGTGTTGATTTTTCAACAAATAAAGCCATCATATATAGTTCATCAGTCAAGGTGTAAAGTAGGCTTATATATCATCAAATCAAAAGTTCCAATTCATTCGATGCACTTTACGCTCAATATACTCGGAAGTATAGATAATACACGCATAGAAGTCGTCATTTCTAGATCTCACAGGTGTACTGAAATCCACTCATCATTACGTAAGCGGTATCATTACACATATCATCATGGTTAAGCAACCATTAGCCACTATGTTTTAAATATTTCTACGCTTAGCGTATGAAAAAAAATTCTAATCATTCCTTAATATTGATGATACGATAGATTCAACTAATTGGATTATTAACCTGTGCGGTGTTGTAATTGATAATAATTTAGGTAAGTCTATGTGTCTGATAATTTTTTTCGTACATAGTGTATTGTAACAAAGGTAGTAAGACCAGAATGAATAGTTCATTATGGAATAATAATTATGTAAAATGAACTGAAGTCATATAAATAGAAAAAATATTACTAATAAATAAATAAATCAAAATTACTTGTTAGTGTCTGTTTGTACTGAAAATTGTGCTACCATAATAAAAAGGATAAGCTGTAATGCGCATTATGACTAGAATATTCGGAAAAGGCAGACAGGAAGATATACTTCTTTGTAGTGGGTAGGGGAGACAGAGTACACAGTATTTAGACCAAGGAGGAACAACATTTGAATGCCTTTTTATGAATACTGGGTTCTGGTCGACCTTATTGCCGTAACTTCACCTAAATGTAGAAGACATGGATGAACTGTGGGTGTGTTTCCGGTTCGAGTATTTGGAGCACTTCAGCTTAGGCAAATGGTTACTAGCTCATATAGCCGGGTACATGAGAAATCTGTTAGCCCATCTCTATGACAGTAAAGATTACTTGTTTGCATAATTTGCTTTCATTTAGACCACACTGTTGAACAGCTGCTCGATTGCCTATAGAGTAACACATCAAAGAGTCTTTTCTATTCTCGATCTTTTAGGTTGTTCGTGGTTATTATGCTCGGATAATAGTGTCGTTCCCAAACTAATCAATAATCACGTGAGTTATTTCTTCACTTATCATTTGGTCAAGCTAGTGAATTGTTGTTAAGTCATTCACAGCAGGCATGTTAGGCTTCGATTTTATAGTTTATTGGTTAAAATACCATTCACAGTATGCAAACTTCATCTTCTTGTTACGAATTATGTACAATATCATGTATCACGTAATTATGGTGTAGCGTGCGGTAGTCCGCACTTATAGGAATACATACTATCGGTATAGATCTGTTGATTCCTTTCTTACTTATCTTTTGTCACTCGTTCCCTTGTGTCCAACTGTATGCTACTACTTATCAGTACAGTAGTAAATAATATCAATTTATATATCTTTTCCTTGTTGTTACACCGTAACTACAACCGCTGTTTGCTATTGAAGTTCACCTCACTTAATGTATTATTATTATTCTATTTGACATATAGTAGTTATCTTTATATAGTTCAACGGTACCTGCTGTACACGCTTTATTTATATTCCACTCTCTGTTCAGCATTATTTATTCTAATCCCTTTATTCTTTATATGAATATTCGCGCGCTGTTTAGTCTGACCGTGAATCACTCTTTACACAGCTCATCTGTTTCTTCTTACTGACACCCAGTGACAGAGCATTTGACGTCATTCAACCATAGGTACCTCACAATCTGAGGTTTGTTTATTATGTCATTATTTCTTATATAATATACTATCGTACTTTAGACACGTCCTGTGTTTTGAATTATACACGTAACTCTCAAGCGAGTGGTTTAGTTAATTATGCGTCCGGATCTTTCAGAAATCTTCGTGCAATATTGTAAAAGCGGTATAGATAGCGTGGAGCAAATCTTAGACTGGTCATGATTCACACGCACGGAGATTCAAAAAATTACAGGGGTGTAAGTGATGTGAAAAGACGGAAAGGCACAGAGTATTGCCTTCCTTTCGACCTAAGTCGGGAATGTTGCAGTCACGGAGATTATTCAACCTGGCATCTGAAACAACTTACATCATCTTAGTTTACCTGTGAACACTGTCTCACACTAAGTTCTGTCGTTAATTACTAGATTGTTTAAAAAAAGGAGTTGGTTGATTTCATGAAGAAATTTAAGGTTCGGTTTTATGTGCTGAATAACCGGTGATTTGCGAAGAATGTAAAGTGATTTATGACAAACAGAACTTAGTTCAGTGTCTAGGAGACTTAGTCGACGGTGTTGAGGAGAGACGGCCATTCGAATCTTTTTAGCTTTTGTGTTTGTGTCCAGTGTAGGGACAATTAGGTTTTCTGTGCATTCCGGTAGTGACACTGATAAGCAGAAAGCAAGCACATGAGTATGTTGAAGTGTGGCATGACGAAGGGAAGTTCACGACACCTGTAAAACCAAGGAAGAGTGAAATCCCTGTCATTACTTGTAGGTAGCAACTCTACTTCAGCAGAACGCCATTCAGTGATATTAGATGGTTGGAGGCAATCGGCAGGAAGCCTTGTTCGACCTAGGTTTCGTGCTAGTTGACACTCGTGATCGAGGCGTATCTACATCCTTGAAGGAACTCATGTCCCGTTTACTTCCTGCCCTCCGGATAACATTGTAATAGTCATCAATAAACGTGGGTGAACAAAGCGAACTGATAAAGATATCTGGACATCTAGACTCCTAACATGAATCAGATTGATTTCTTCAAAAAGACATTCTGATCATTTGATATTGCTTTCTTTCAATACTCGAGAGTAGGACCCAGTGATGTGCACACAATACATGAGGATTTGATATGTAAACTATTTTGTATTTAGGAGGAAAAGTATTGGGTAGTCATACCGTTGCCTCATACTTTGCACCAGTCTTCTCAGGTTATGTGTGGAAAGGAAGAACGGCGTTTAATGATATTAGATGGTTGGAAATAATCGGCTGGAAGCCTTGGACCTAGGTTTCGTGTTAGTCGGCACTGTTTCGTCTGACGGTGGATCACTCTTGACACAGCTCTTCTGTTTTTTCTTATTGACGCCCAGTGAGAGCACATTTAACGTCATTCATCCATAGCTACCTCATAATTTGAGGTTTATATACTATATTTTATTATTTCATTTATAGTATAGTACCGTACTGTAGACAAATCCTGTTTTGGGATTCTATGCGTAACTCAAACGTTTGGTTAATTAATGCTTTGGTAGTATCACTCCAGACTTCTCAGAAGAAGTCTACAAGATCAATATTTCTGAGATATTAGTCAGGGCGGACATTTATCCGAAGGGAAAGCTTTCATCTTTTAGCCATTGATAAATCAACGTCACGTACATGCTGTCGAAAATCTTGGAGTCGGCAGTCATTCTCAGTTAAAATGGGACTCACAGATTAATAAACTCGTGAGAGAGAGAGAGATCGATAGGCTTAAATCCCAGACTTAAGCCCTTCAACTGATTGTGAAGCAAAGGAGCATTCTCATCGGTGTCCAAACCCTGTTATGTTTCTTGACTTGAAGATGACATATGACTTTGTCAGTCGAGAGTTGTTGTGGAAATATCTGTGTAAAGCAAGTGCTAAAAGAATACAGTGCTCTAATCAAGGCACTGTTCTGCAATTCATACAGCAAGTTGTTGCCTGGTGTTACGACCTCTTGTGATGTCCATAATAGAAATTTCTTAAGTCACCGATGGTATTTAGTTTCAGTAATGTATCTGATTGTGGTCTATTTCAACATCTTGAGAACCGAATTGCTCTCAGGGAACCGTCTTCTAAATCTTCTGAACGGAAATCTGAGTATGTTTGTCTTGGAATTGGTTCCTGTTGGTTGGCAGATAATGCCACAGGATTAGTGTGCACAAACACCTAGTTTGAGGATGGAGATTGAAATAGTTGTATATGTTGACAAAATGACTAGTTTGACAAGTAATGAGCTCGTTTCTAATGAAGTTACGGGAGAGAAACAGAAGTCTGACATGGCGTGTGTCAACTGGTGTCGTTGGTGTTACCGATTATATATGTGACAACGTAACTCCTGTGCATCACTAAGATATGTTATCCCCTGCAAATCTTAGATTTTGCCCTAAATTAATTGCAAAGTCACTTTTTACGGAATATAGGTGTACTTTCGACAAGTCGTTCGTCTTAAGTAAAACAGTGTGGTGTATAACCTGTTATAGTGATTCATTTAACTTCGTGATGTGATTTACTGTGTAGGTAGATGTAGTTGTGTTCCTCGTATAAAAGAGCTGCCCTTTTTCATGGACCTATATGAAATAATCATGTTAGGTTAACATAGAGTCGAATGAACGCCTTGATGGAAATGATTAATTCAATTACTCTAGATACCAGTCAAAGCTGGAAACAATAGAATATAAGCGATCAGAGAACATTCATTTAAACAATTACTCTCCGGAGCCACACTTACAAATAGTATAGCTTACTAAATGCATTGAGAAAATCTTGCCCTTAGTTTTCATAATCGGTTCTTCTATTTACGAGTGCTTTTGTTATGGCTTTATTTCATCAGATTTATGATTTTGCAAGTATTCAATTTTTTTTTTTGAATGAATTGAGGAATGGTGTTGCACGAATTGAATATACTATCAGTTTCCATAGTAATATGTTTATTGCTAGAAGTCATTTATGCTAAGTTCTGCATTAACTAACTGGTATTCGTTGTCGAGAGAAATTCGTATTTATTGTATTTTTTTAGAACCTAACTGTCGAGTTTCTTCTGCATCGATCTAATGGTAAAAGTTCTCTATTGGACTACTGTTCAAAATTGATGTCAGATAGCATTGACGAAGTGATTTCAATCATTGATCAACCTCCTGTGTTCGAATTCAATGCTCGTTCATTGAATCGACGCTTGGATCAATTCGTGTTCATCTTTAAGCGAATATGCGAAGTGTCCTATTCCATGCCTACTGGTACCAGAGGACATCATATCCATTCTGATACATGTAACTTCGATTCTATGAACAAAACATTAAACACGTGTTCTTCATTACCTGCTAAAATGGTGAGTAACAAGTAATACTACTGTCTCATGAAGCTATTGTTTTTCTAAGCATATAAATAAATGTATATTGTATCACACCCATAATTGTTATTGTGTATTCATGATAACTGTCAGCATGTGATTCAGAAGCATTTCATTTATAATTCTTTAACATGTGTTGCATTGCTTACTATTGGTTTCATTTAACAAAGAGAGATGTTTGTATGCAGACGTACAAACTTGACAAGAACAGATCAACTATTGTGAACGTTTGTATCCTTTTTACACAATCTCCCAGTTTACTACACAGCAAGTTATCTGTTCTGCTTAGTGTTGGTGAAATAAATGTCAATCCTTTGGAATTACAGAAAATACTTAGATATAAAAGCTTTTAAAAGGTAAACATTGACCGGCTCCACTGTCCGAAATCTACAATGGCGATCGGTATAAACCTTCTTATAAGTAGCATATATATATATATATATGTAATGAATCTGTTCCCAGAAATATTGTGCCAGCCGTTTGGTAAGACATCAAAATTGTACCTATGCTTAAGTCATGTAATGGAACATGTGTCAAATTTTGACCGATTGCTATAACCTCTCCTTTTTGAAAACTATGGAAGAGTTGCTTTTACTTAATCTCGAACAATTTGCCTACAAACATAGTAGAAGTACTTCAGATACATCTGCAGTCTTGCATCATAACATCGTCTCTAGTTTAGAAAAAGGGGCTAAATTTGTTCACTGCGCCTTCCTGGATTACACATCTGCTTTTGACTCATTACGCGCAGATGCATCCACTCCTTGTGACTTATGATTTCCAATTAAACTTTTGTTCTCCGTTATTACCATTCCTTTGTCTCACACCTCTGTTTACTGTCTATATTATGCATTTCTTCTACTTTCTTCTCTTGCTTTGTGTGCTACATGGAGTGTGGCGACTTGAACTGCCGCACATCTGTGCAAAGTTCTATGTCAAAAACCGACCGACCGACCGATATTTTGTAAAATAAGCTTGCAGGGACTCACACTGAGTGTTGGGTTGTCAACTGGCTTCATTCCTATTTCTCAGGAAGAAAGCAGTACACTGAATGTAAGGGGAAGTCGTCCACTTCCTTGCTTACTGAGGCTGGCGTCCCTCAAGGCGTTGTTCTTTTTCCTTTTATGTTTTCTTTCTTCTTGCATAACTTGCCTCACTCTGATGAAATGAACTTTCTTAAGCTTGTGGACGATTTAACTGTTTCAATGCCAGTTAACTCTCAGCTAGACTGTACTAAGCTGAACAGCTTTCTATCAGGAGTCAGCAAATTGTCCTTTCAAATGTCATACTGGTAATTTCAGTTTCAGATGCAAAAGAAAGTTAAATGAAGCTGTTGATTCCTATGACTGTTGCAAAAATGATAATAGTGATATAGAAATCAAGTCTGAAGTTAAGTATCTTGGATTAATTATTCCTTCTGACCTATCCTGGTCTTCCCATGTCGTAGCGATTTCTAAAATAATATTTCTTCTGACTTTTTACATTAAGAAGTTAAGACACTCAGGCATAACTCAACCACTCCTCTTACAGTTTGTCAACTCGTGTATCTTACCTATTCTTCTTTACTGTTCACCCTTATTCTTTCCTGCATTGCTTAAAAAAGAATATGTCATACTACGTAGAACTCTGAAGACTGTCAGTAGGGTGAGTGGTATCCCATTGGGCCATATCGTTGCAGTCGTCATTGATAGGCACTTGATTTCATTCAACAAATTTGCTAAAGATATTTTGTCAGACTGTGAGCATCCACTTTACCCACAGCTCCAACCTTGTGTCTCCTCAGGTAAAACAGAAGTCTTTTCAGAAGACTTTATGCACTTACGTCTAAGTATAAAAATTTCACAATACCATATTTGGCAAGTATTTTATGCGATGGAAATAGTGTCAGGGACGAGAAATAACTAACCTTCATTTCATTTGTAAATAAACAATTTTCACCATCCCTATACCATCAAGGTTCACTGTTATTCTTATATTTATATTCCTCTCATTTTGTTTTGTTTATTTTCTCATAAGTATAAACATCATTTAAGCTCTGCAAAATTGTTATTTTTTGTTTTTCCCTCACTATGCTATATCAACAGAACATTAGATTCAATATTCTATAATATGCTAAACGTTTCCATACTGCCATTATTTTCATCTTCTACTTTGCACATTTTTGACTTTGTTCCTATTGTAAATATGGACAGATTCCTGCGGTTACTTTTATTTATATTTTGACTAAATAAGATGCAATGTTCTGACAAATGCTGAGAATTCCATGCTGTATTATAATTACTGTTTTTGCAATAAAGCGGATCATCACTATTATTATTAGTAAAGTTACCGTTTTACTGTCCAGATGTCACACTGTTCCCAATTTCCACGTGTTTTCCTCTTTTTAATTAGAATTTTGTTTCCCTTTCACTAGAAAACAACATATGAAGACAACAGTTTGATTTCATCTGCCAACGACGTTGTCACTCAGTCAGAAATATACACCCATATATTTTTAAAAAACCAACGATCTGAGGTAAATGAATATAATTTTCTCTTATCGTCGTGATTTATTGTTAAAATCGATACTCAAGTAGAGCTTTTATTTGTGAAAAATAATCAATAATTCGTCCGAGAAGTTGCTATTTTCGAAGTTCAACAACTATCAAAATGTAGACAATTCCAAGTGATAATCAATGACTGTTTCCTTCTACTCTTGTCAAATCAGTTAGGTAGTAACACCACGGATAGTTTCGAATAACTTTTTCCTCAAACAATTATGCATAAAGAAGTGTAAAGTGGAACTGAACACTTATATATGCTGGAAATGTCGATTAGTGGAGAAGATATTGTCTAAGCTGAAGTAGTCGGCGAGTGGGTGGTGGTGATATTTGAAGTTTTATGAAATAAAGTAGTAGCTAGCTAGCTGGGGATTGTTGCAGGTGTTATTTTGAAAATGTGAATCTCTTTTTTAGAATCGTTGATTATCCATCATGAGCATGAATTTGTTACAGTAATAAATAACTGTGAGGAAATTTCATCTTCTTCGTTATGATGAAGAAATACAAAGAAGAAATATTCATTGTATGGTGTCTGTTTATTTTTGCGTGGTGTAAACTGCCTTCCGTTGTAATAAGTTTAACCTGTGATATGAGATATAGCTACAGTGTTTTGTGTGTTCTGCAGGTGTGTTTGGTTTTTTCCTGAATCATTCACTCAGATTAGTATTGTAGTACATTTGATGAGATGAGCTAAATAGTGCCTGTTTACTCTTCTCTCTCCCTGTCTCTCTCTCTCTCTCTTAGCATTCGGAAGTTCGTAAATTCCTGTGTTCTGTAGTGGTTGAGTACATTCGGGTATTTTTGGAGCACAATATTTGCGTGGAAGTAAGTTCATTCTACTAGTATTGTGTGTGATTATCATTTTTATTGTTTATGCTTGTGAAGAGTTTCTCATTGATAACTGGTTAGTATAAAATTTTTTCACTGTTGAACTTTTCTTTTTCAGCATTGTTTCTACGAACTCCTTGTTAGTCTTGTGGCAAGAATTGGGAATTATATTCAATACAGTTATTATATTCAAAGTCGTTTGATTGCAGACTCTAAGCCTATTGTAAGCTTAATCATTCACTTTTTAAGTTCTCCTAAATTGGTGATGTATATGCCCTGTTTAATAGTTTTGCATTATTGTTATCATTACTATTATTGTTTCCTTTGGGTTCTGAGTGAAACATAAGGCTTCAGCAACACATCTTCACTTAATCCTATTCCCACAGTCCTCTTTAGTCGCCCCCCACGATTACCCATAATCTCTCATCTCCTCCATATCAATGTCGGACGGCCCACCTATCGTTTCCTATTTGGGTTCCACTGGAACCATAATCTAGTACGCGATGTCTTTCGACGGCCTCCTCAGCGTATACCGAATCCACTTCCATTTCCTCGTACATATATGTTTAACGATCGATTCTTGGTTAGTTTGCTCCCCTAGTTTCTTGTTACTAGTTCTTTCTGGCCGGCCATTTCATCTTCAATATGGAGCCACCGGAAACAGCTGTTTTAAAAGTCTGCAGTAACCTGTTGGAAATGCTTTTCGTGACGTTCGATGCAAGTTTCTGATCCATATAGAAGAAACGACTGACTGACTTGACATTTGTGTTGAAAATCCGAATCTTGTTGTTTGTTCTTAGGTGGAGTGTAGAAGATTCGCAGACTGATTTCAGATTGATGAAGGTGTACCTTGTATTTCAGACTGTGGCTGACTTTGACATCATCCGTTCGGACTGCTTGTGGTTGAAACGATGCTTGTTAGATAGGTGAAAGAAATGGCCTCTGTCAAATTTCTCCCGTTGACAGCGACTGGCAATGACTGTTGTTGTCGCTGGTTAGTTTTCCTCATCACCTCTGTCTTCTTTATGCTCACCTGGAAGCCTGTCTTCTATGCCAGTTTGTAGGTGGTCGTCTGTAAATCTTCGAGTTTGTGTGTCACTGAACATGAATCGTGGCATTGTCGTATATCTGTTGAATGATGATAAAGATATGGGGTACGTATGAGCTTTGTGTTTTTTTCGTTATTTAGCGAGCCATCTGCTTCAGTGGATGAAGCAGTTAGATGTTTCCGCCTTTTTTTCTTGCCAACTGAGCATCGGAATTATATAAAAGGTAGAAAATACAAAAGAATCGCTGTTTTTTTAAATTTGGATTTAAAAGAATCTTTGCATTCTCACTGGCTGAGAAAGTGAATCTTATTCTGTTTTATTCCTGCAACAATTCAGTAATTTCCTTTGTAAAATTAAGAGTACAGTATTCAGCAAAGAGACTTCTCAACGAAATATTTATCTTTTCTGCAACCTTCACCAGTCGTAAGTTGTTCGTCTCAGTATGAGATAAGCTGCCTCGTCTAGCTGCCTCCATGTGCATATATCAGTTCAGCTACTCTTGTGGAGCAATGCCGTAGCGAGAGAATACTTTATACACCGATACGAGCACATATTCCAGCATGGTTTCGCAAGGTAGAAGGGAAAGGTGTGCAAAGCTATACTCTAGAATACCTGATCTTCTTGCGTCAGTCTACCAACCGTACCTATGATTTTAAGATCATCATATATCGAATTCATGCTAAACTTCTGAAAACAGAGGAGGCTTTGGCTATTCATTCATGAATTCAAGCCAAATCTCTGTGTACAAAAGAAGTATATACAATCGTCATTTCTACCTTGTCCGTAGAGGGACAAACACTTATTTATTTGGAAACATTTATTTCCCGATACGAATTTAAAACAAGCAACAAAGGTTTATAAAGCCGGATTTAATGAATTCAAGTTTCAGTAGAACTCTTCAGCTGAATACTCTACATACATGGATGTACATACTGTTAGAAATAAATTGGGAGATATAAGATTGATTAGCAAATAAACTACATTGAATTAATCATGCAAAACAGCACATGTGAATGTTTTTCAGATCATGTTCAAATAGATAAGGGGAAGGGAGTATGAAGGATTAAAATTAAGATGAAAAGCATTACGTCTCAATTACATCACTTAGATAAACAAGTAGTCATTAGAGAAAGAACTTGGATATATCAAGAATTGCGAACTGAGTAATATTAATAATAATAGTTATAATAATAATGCTGAAGTCAGTTAAGATAATGCTAGTGATAAAAGGTGGTTTTAAATGAATCAGCAATAATAACAACAGGTGGAATAAAGTGTTAATAATATTAATAATGATAATAACAGTTAATAAGAAAAACGTATTACCTTGGTAGGCCCTGAATGGTACTCATAGACCTGGTTCATAAATTCGAATTGCACAAGCCTCCGTAATTTCAAGCCGCTTCCTGTTTCTCTGTCTGCTGACTTGACAGCGTCGATATCATGTCCGTAGTCCACAAGGTGCTTTATTATTGAACTTTTTGGCACTTTGACTTCGGCTGTTTTCAACCACTTTGGCAAATGCTCCAGCATGTGAGTGGACAATCGCCTTTCCGTACTACTTATGCATTTGCTTCCACAAACACACTCATGAAATTGATATACGCAGTTTGAAGTGTCGGGCATTGGTGACTGGTCGTTCAATCTGTGATATAATATCTTAAAAACCATATATATATATATATATATACATATACGTGTATATATATATATGTATATATATGACCTGAAAAACGTCTACCGATGCTAGCGTGTAAAATTGTTGATAGATTTTCTGTTGCAAACTGATGATTGAGACATATCCTTCAGAAATTTGTCATGTATCTGTTGCCATTCAAGTCAGTTAGCTCCGAATTTGATGCTAAACAGTCTCCTATCTATGCTATGAAATCCAGCCATTATCCCGATGAATATACAAGTATCTTGTAGTTAGGCTTTTTTATTTCATTTCAATTAGAGTTAAGTCTTCTCTTTATAAATGTGGAGCATGAAACAAGCATACTGATGACTCACTAAAATATAATTCTCTTGTTTTTTTTGTTTTTTGTTTTGTATTTCAATAGGCATTACAGCTTTTGTCTTTGGAAACAGTATATCCTCCGGCTGGCCAGTTAGCTATTGATATGTTGAAGGTGAGCCTATTAGTTGTACAATAACGTCTGTATCAATTCGTTTATTCATTAATCAACTGAGAAGTGCTTTTGTATTCTCTTGTCCTGGCGCTTAGTTGTTCTACCTCCTTACTCGGATGCAATCAGAGACATTACCGTCTCTTTCTGTGACACTGACGTAATTGCTGGGAAGTTTATATCAAGCTTCTATTAAAATGGTGGTTGTGTCTGGAAATTTGCCATTTGTAACTTATTTTAATGTGTGCAATAGTTTGATGACTCTTTTTTCTAATAAGCGTTACTAATTAATCCTTAAAGTTGATTCAGGAAATCATATAGACTTTCTAAAATATCATAGATTTTTTCGAAATCCTAAGTTGAAAAAATATACCGGAAGAAATGGAGGTGGCCATACTCTAAGAAAACCACCAAGTGACATCACACGCAAGGCTTTCCAGTGGAACCCGAATGGTAAGCGATGAGTTTGTTGGTCGTCAGTGCGAGGGTGACGTTGAGGAGCAGGAGGTCACGTGAAGAGGAGATTGAAGCATGTGGGCAGACGTGGAGCCAGGTGAAAACGTTGGCAGAGAACGCAGCGAAGACGTGCGGCTGAAGCCCTACGTTCCTCTAAAAACTAAAGGAAACAATAATAATAATAGTAATAAGTAGAAAGGTATTCATCAATGTGCCAAAGTCAGAAATGAACATAATTCGAAGAATACTGGAAAAGACAAAGGTTGGTTATTTATTCAAAATCCTGGAAATTAAAAAAGTTGAGAATCACGTCAATAATAATAGGTGGTCCTCCTTCAAATCTACCACAAAAGTTCACAAGTATCCATGTCATGTTCTGACGTAGACTTAATGTTTCTGGAGAATGAATAAGTGAACCTGTACAAATCCCTGAAATTCATACAGTATCAGTCAACTTTCTTCACCGTAAATATATATGCCTCCTTTGGCGTCGCACAGTGTCTTACTGTTAGTCGACGCACTTTCTGAGACATTTTCTTTAGTATTGATGGAGACGTCTACCTCAGTCAACTCTTTGGATATAAAACACTGAATATTAGATTTATGAAGTGATAAGTAAGTGGAATGTCCAGTTTAATAAAACAAAATGAGTGCTTGTTTATATTCTCATTGCCATAACATATATTTTTTTCCAATTAGAGGTTGGATACGTGCAATAGTGAACTGTTTGATGCACTACTTATTAAACAACGACCTTTGGAGGCATTGAGGTAATGTGTTTGTTTAAAATGCTGTTTTTTTTTATCAAATACATATTTATTTTCGTTCTCCAATTTTTTATTTTTTTCAAATGTCATTTTTGTATGAATACAGAGTGAAGTGAGACACACAGAAGTCATCGACTTTATAGGATACTGTTGTAGTCTCGAAATTTTTAAAGATAAATCTTCAAATACTCGTTTGGCTATAATTTGTTGATAAAGCTTCACTGTTTTGTTTTACTTTCAGTAATTCTATTATTATTCGAGTATTGGTTTGTAGGGATTTGATTGATTGGTTACAGGGTTTCATCATGAGCTGACGTCGGTTAGAGAACCGTTGGAAAACTTGCGGGGAGTACTGGACACTTTGGGGCTCTTCAGCAGTACGCACACACCGGGGCTGGAAGTCATGGGCCATCGGATTGGGGTCCAGTGGTTTAATTGTCTACGAGCTCGCCATTTAACCAGAAAGTCATAGGTTCGAAACTCACTGGATGCGTAATGCTGAAGAGTCCCAAACAAGGACAAAGCAACCGTCCAGTACTCCCTGAAGCCTTTCCAATGATTCTGTAACCGATATCAGTTCATGATGAAATCATGTAACCAATTCGATTAATGTTTTCCTGTGAGTTATTAACAGGGGTGTATATGCTATCATAAAGTATCTTTATTTACTGTCCCCATTAAGCTTGAACATTACTGCTGAATACATCCTGTCACGATGTCAGCTACAGGTTTACATATAGCCAAAATTAGGTCGTCTTCAACACTGCAATTTTCGCTTAATTCGCCTATTCTTATTTTCCAAGTGTGTTATCCTCTCGCTAACCACTAATGCATCATAGGTAATCCCTTAGATAATATTCGTCTTTACCATAGAGTGTAGACAGTTGTTGGATTCTACTGTTGTTATTACATTTCTTATGTGTCAGGAAGCACATGGTTGAAGATCACTTTTGGTCAAAAGATTGTTGTGGTTTTCCATAAAAACAATATTAGTGGTTATGGTCATTTTACGAGGTGCTTACAATAGCTTTTACGGTTATCTATGGTTGATAAAGATGAACGCACAATGAATATCCATTCATTAAATCAAGTGGTAAGATATAAGCAAAGATTAGAGTAAATGATATTGTCTCCACCCTCGGAGGCCCAACTCATCGGTTCCCACTCGGGTTTCCTCACCCGTGTCTTGCGTATGATTTCACTCATGGTCTCCTTAGCATACTTTGAATCCATCTCCATTTTCCGTGCATATTAGTTGAGTAATAGGCTGTTGGCTGCTTCGCTGTAGTGCTACAGTTACTTGCTGTTTCTGTCTTATCTATTCGTTTCCAATGGCAACAGAAGGGGACAAGTCTTGATGAAAGTCTGTAGTAGCCAATCAGAAATCCTTTTGGTAACGCGTCCACCAGTTCTCTGAACTACACAGAAGCACTGGGTTGGCATCAGTGTTGAAAATCCCAATATTCTTATTTATGCTGACTGTCGTAGATCTGTATACCGACTTGAGAGCAATGAAGACCTATTTTGCTCTTTTGATCCTGGCCTATATACGAATATATTTCAAACTGACAAATCCTTTTTAAAAAAAGCAGTTGAGTTTTTTGCCTGTGTGATTAGTTTCGTTTCAGTTAATCATGACAAGGTTGTTAGGTAGTTTATTCGATAGCAGCGATAATTCTGTTAATTCTACTGATTTCAATTTTTCAGGTTTTCTAGCTTGCAGTCTTCGGTTAACATTGTCGACACGGAAAATATGTACAGCCTTCTAGATACTGCTGAACAGGATGGGGATTCTATCAAGTTTCATTGTGTTTATCATTATTTGAAAGAAGGCAACTCATTTTATAAGGAAATTTTCCGAGATACAGGTAATTCTTAAGCGACATTTATGTATCTTCATGCTTAGTTTCTCTCGTTATGTTTTGGCGTTTAACCTTGTTTAGATGCTTGAAAGAATTTTTGGAAAAACTTTGGAAGTATTTTTGTGTGTGTGTGATAAACTTTTGTCACTGACATCCCACTTTTTTAATTCCTTTACGTTGCCAGTGGAACATAGGACTTCAAGCTAGCGCGAGCTTGAAATTTCGGTAGCAATGGTGTTTATTTCTAAGGGATGGGGTTGCTAGCCTCATGCCCAACCTTCCCTCTCTACTAGTCTTATAACTGGCTTAGCGAGGTACAGGAGTGCGTCGGCCGGGGATCGAACCCCAGACCACATGCGTGGTTGGCAAACATCCTAGCGCTGTGCCATCGACGCACGATATCTCACTGCTTAACTGTTAAGATTACAATGAGCAGGTAGATGACATTAACTTCTGGTAGCTTAATATAGTGTGTTAGTTTGTCTGAATGTAAAGTGTATGAAGCCGTCAAGTAAATATTTTTTTTCGTTTGAATAACTAGGCTTATCGTATCTTTTTTGTATACGTTTTCAGATGAACGGTTCGAACGTTTTACCAAGCATTACAATGATACGTATTCATGAAATGATATGCATGTTCTTCTTGGGAAGCACATTCATGTATTCTGGATCTTCTTTGGATAATGCCATCCGTTTTTTATTCCTTGTGTTCTCGTGTTGCAGTTGTTGTTTTCTCCTCAATGTATCTCTAAATTTGACTATTTTGTATTATTTTATGCCAACAAAATCATTAATATACTGCTGAGAGCTTAATAACTATATAAAAAACCCATGTTGAGTCATTTGAATAAACATGCATCATAGTGTGATATTATGCAGTTGCTGCTTACTTGTTTATTTTGTTTTATTCCTTTGCGTTCCGAGTGAAACATAAGGCTTCAAGCTTGAGCTTCGAATTTTCAGTAGCAGTGGTGTTTATTTTTACTAACCTCGCGCACAGCCTTCCCTCTTTGTCAGCTTCCCAAGAGGCCAGAGGAGACAGTGGTATGTGCCATTTGGGAATCGAACCCTGGACCATGTGTATAGTCGGTGAGCATCTTCTAGCTGAGCTGCTGACATACACAAAGCTGTATCCACTAGACCACTTGGGTCATTCACAAAATGATACACTCATTGACTTGACATTGGTTTTCAGGAGAACCGAACACACCTATCTCTGCTTCTGACGAGAGGAGACGAGCATGCAGTTATCATCCTCTGGTGCAAACACTGAAGGGCCCTCTCTCAGTTTGCCAGTAATATATATATATATATTTCCGAAGTTTGCACTTTCACTAAGAGTGAAGATAAAAGGGTTACTTTGGTACTACATGCTTACACTGAACTACTGAAATTTTTCTGTGTTGGTTAATCGCCTGGTTCTACCACCTACTTATGGTGAAAGGAAGAGTGATAAGCACGAAACCTAAGTGTCTGAGTTTTCGTCTTCCTGCTAAATAGCATGATATTTTCATCATTAGCTGATTGTGTTAACTGCTTTTCAGTTTTCCCAGTTTTAAGTGTGAAGCGTTGGCGCTAACTTGAACTAACGAACTTCTGTGTAAAATTATAGGGTAATTTAGTCAGTCTGATGCTTAGCACAACGCGTTGTTTATGATTAAAAAGCCACTTGGGACGGCGTCTCCCCTGGAATTACTAGTTTTCCTGTTGCATTTCCCCGCCCCAGTGTCAAAAGTTTCTATGACCACTAACAGCAGGTTTTCTAGTGCAGCAACGCTTACACTGGATTCATCTAAACTAGACAGATTCCTTGAACAAGAAATGAAAATTATTGAGTTGCTTATGCACCTGAAAATTTCTAGTGTGGAATTATCCCAGGCTGACTCCGCTGTAGATGGGATTGAGGGAGATGTGTTACGCTTTGCTCAGTCATCACCTTCCTTGACGGGCAATGTCAGCTGACATAGGGTCAGGTTAGAAATGAACCCATGGTGGTCAAAACTAACATGGCATTAGTCGATGAAATCCACAACAGTTAGTTTAAGCCACGTAGGAAGGTGTAAACTTCTTGGTTGGGGTCCTCGGGACGGTAAACAACAATGACTGGAGACAATTGGTGCTATGGCATAAAATCGTTCTCAATGGCTGGAGCGGTTAGATGCACCCACTCCTTGTGACTTATATTACCCAAAAAATACTATATTGTTCTTCGATACTACTATTCTTTTTGCTTCATATCTCTGTTTACTGTCTCTATTTTGCAATTCCTTTTACTTTCTTCTTTTGCTTTGTGTGCTACATGGAGTAGAGTGTGGCGAATCGAACTGCTGCACATCGGTGCGAAGTTCTATGTTGCAACCAGTCAGTGGGATTTCGAATAGCATTAGTAAATCTTACTACGTGCTGATGCCAATGTTTCATTATCTACTTGGTTCATGCGATAAGAAGATGATTTCAAAAAGGATTTTGCTAACCAAAATCATTCCTTGAAAGTTCTCTTTCTACTTCGAAAATAAATCTCATCTGAATTCAACTAATATGACCATATAATGCTGTTTCAAAAGCGAAGCGATCGCACCTTTGACACCATACTGTAGACATTAAGATAACAGTTTGGTGATCACTCATTCCTCTTCAGCTCTCGATATATGTGTCTTAAGCTAATCGTGAACGAGGATGATTATTTTCTCCCTTCTGTCAATAATCTAAACCGTGATTGTGAGCGATTTCAATCGAGATGTTTGACAGGCGATCAATTGAAATCACTAATAGTCATCTGCAGCCTACAGTCGCCTATGTTTGCTGACATCAGAATGAGGTTTCTATATCTCTTGGGATAAGATCCGATGGTAGTACTAAATGACATAACTGCTGAGTATCAATGACTAACAAACCACCAGCATGATTCCAGTTTATTCCAATCCAGATACTAGGATGGTTGTGAACTATATGCAGTTAGCCAGGAAACATATAATCTTATGGTCAGACCTCCCGTCGTCCTACTTCGACCCTCCATCGTCCCGGTTACTCATATGATGTCAGCCGATGCACAAAAAAAATTTCATCATCCTGCTGTCATTTGGGTCAAATCTTGTTTCTATAAATGAAATCGATGCCAAGACTGTAATACTGTCGGTGGCTTTCATCAGCAACACTCACTGCACTCATCCTGCATGCGTCAGCGAACATCCTATTTTTAACCAAGGGTTAAATCTAGTAACCTTGGTAACTGTCTGTCAATATTCGGATGGGTATTAATAAACTTTCTCTGGGCCGTTGCATGAGCATAAGAAGCAACTACTAGGCTGAGGGATTTAACACAGCAAATATAAATGTCGGTAGGTAAAAGAAAAAAGTGCAGAAGAACTGTAATGGTCGAATCTATATGGGAGAAAAAAATAAAAATATAATAATTTGAATTTCATTGATATAGGAGCTGATAAAGGATGAATACATCTGCGCTATTAAGAAGAATTTTCATCCGTCACCAATATTTTCTAGCCATTGGATTTTAACCTCTCGGTCACCCAAGTCAGACAGCCTGCACCCCTACCTGACTCAAACTAACAACCAAATACTTCATGGATTGATATCCAACTTAATCCTAAGTTGACGAAGGAGATGGCTTGGAATGCATAACATATGTTCTAGCTTTCTCAGTCTATGCAGCTTCACGACTTGACTGACTGATTTTCCCCTTTATGTAATATTCTCCACCTGACTTCAGTATTTCTCAACATACCATACCATTTAACATGGAAGAGAGAACTCAAACGCCCTTCCATATCTTTCACTTCTAACAGTTGTCTCACAGCCTTAAAGAAGTACAGAACACCGTCTAATCTATGCATGACTATTGATTAAGCATTAGTTAAGCTGACCTCCAATCCCTAAAACTAAGTCATATGCTGGTTAACCAAGACAGTAGTTTATTTTCAGTATCCTCTGGAGTCATACGAACAAGTCTCACTGCTTTTCACGTTTTGTTTTAGAGTCTAGTTTCGCGACCTCATTAATAGTTAATGGACCTACCAAGGTCTACGAATAAAGCGCCTCAACCTGGTTTAATGTGGGTACACGTATTAAATAAATAAGGAAAGTCGGTTTCATAGTGATTAAACGGTCATGGAGTACGTTGATAACTGTTGTAAGGATCTCAGGGCGAAAATGCACTGCTATCCGGTAGTTTTGTAACAGCAATCATATGTTTCTTGCTCCAGTGAGATAAAATTAAAAGGGCTGGCATGAAAGGCTATACTTGTCGATTCAAGCTATGGCGTTCCTTAGCAGGCTGTAAAATCTTCCATATGAATGAAACTAAACATCCAAAGTAGCCGTATGTGACTAGAATAAAGGATACGTCTTTTGAACTCCACGATAAATTAGTACTGTTGCACTTTCCGTTTTAGTGACTTTAGGGGGTAATGGAAGTCGATGATGCTGATAGCCGAGTATTAACAAGCACCTCACACAATTGCATATGCACGGAAATTATATGTTTTCATCATTTACGTGCACTACACCTCAGGTGATTTGTTCGTCTTCTCTTATCTCTTTAACCCCTGCTAACAGCAGGAGTAGGAAAAACATCGTTTATCGTCCCATAGAAGCTACCAACTCCATACTGGGCTTCCTACGTCAAAACTTTATACCAAAAAAGACAAGCCGTCGTACTAGTCCATATTACGTCATCTCAGGCTTTGAATGCATGTTCTACATCGGATGTATACTTGCAAGATTCAAGTGTAATTGTGTACATGGCGAATTAAAAAAGTTTTATCAGTGTGTGTCAGGAAATTGTTCAGCTAGTTCTTGTGGACTTAAAAGCGTGAAGATTGTATTGAGATGAAGTGTGGGAAACTGTCTCTGTCGAATTATGAAGATATAATTAATAAATCTTCTTGACCCGAAACCTATATGATTATTGATTTTTGAACTTTAGATACAATATTAGTCGAACTGGTCAGCCTATATGCCTATCTCAGGAGGTGGGACTGGTCCTCATCAATAACCTGATATCTTAGTTAACGTAAACAACAGTTTATCACCGCTATCCTTAAACACCTTTGTAGTCACACCATCAAGTCCTCTGTGTAACGTCGTTTCTGTTAAGGACAGATTTTGCAATCTTATTCACAGTTGGTGGACTGATATCTATATCCCACATTTAAAAGTTCGCTAGTCGCCAAATTTTAGATAGGCTGTAATTCGGTTAAATTGTGCCTCAAAATGTCCCCTCTACCGTTATATTCGTATTTCCTCAGAAGTTGTTAAGTAACGTTCGTCTCCATAAAGCGTCTCAATAGTTGTCTGGAGGTAACTACCGCCTATGAATATTTTGTTTCTCGGTTTTATCATCGATCACTGTAAACGGTCGCTGTGCAGACTCTCAGTCAGATTGCGTTTGAGTAGATTCCGAATCTTCGTCACCGGAATCAGATGTCTTCCGTCTGTAACTTTGAATGGAGCAAGAAGAATCTCCAGGTTTTTAATAACCTTTGGCTCGCGGTTGTCAGCAGCCTTTGCTACTTTTCTTAAAACTAGATGGGTATCGCTCTCAGTCCCATATACGTGTGTAGCTAATTCTCTTGTAAAAAAAATCATGTCCTTTAGGGGTTGGGAGTGAACCGGCTCCGTATCCTCTCTGACTTGCGCTAACTTTGAATATTCCAAAAAATGTTGTTTTTCTTATCTGATGGTAACACGAAGAGTAAAATTTATTAGTCTGATGCAGGAAAGAGCTGTTATATAATCTATAAGAGACTACCAATAGCTATCGGGTCTAGATTCACTCGCGTATGCCTTTGTTTCAATGGATACAGTAAAGTTAGAAAAGCTCGCATCAACTTTGATTTAAGTGATATAAGTTGTTTATAACAGGTATCAGTA